TGGTGGCTGAACAGGCAGAGCCAACATTTGGTGTTGGACCTGTGTGAGTGCCTGTTTCTTGGCTTCAACATCTGCCCGATTGTTACCCACAGCTATCAGGCCTTGAGATTTTTAGTGCCCCTTGCAGTGAAGGATGGCTGCATGGGTGTGCAGGCAGGCTGCCAGTAACAGTTTTAGGATTAAAGGACCATTAAGTATAGGTGTTTCCTCGGTTGTCAGGAAATCCCTTTCCCTCCAAATTGGTGCATGAGAATGAATTATGTGACAGGCGTATTTTGAGTCTGTACAATCTGTACATATGTTTACACTGTTTGTTGGTCAATGTTAGGACCCTGGTGAGGGCTATACAATCTGTATATATGTTTACATTGTTTGTTGGCCAATGTTAGGGCCCTGGTGAGGGCTATATGTTCTGCCTGTTGTGAGGCTGTATTGGATGGTGGGGGGCTGGATTCAATTATCTGAGTTAAGGAAACAATTACATAGCCTGCTTGTGTTATCCCTTGGTGTTTAAAAGAGCTCACACCTATGAACCAGTCTGGTATGGGGAGTGNGTGTGAGGGATGTATGTTCCTCGGGTGAGTGGGGTGGTGGCTGAACAGGCAGAGCCAACATTTGGTGTTGGACCTGTGTGAGTGCCTGTTTCTTGGCTTCAACATCTGCCCGATTGTTACCCACAGCTATCAGGCCTTGAGATTTTTAGTGTCCCTTGCAGTGAAGGATGGCTGCATGGGTGTGCAGGCAGGCTGCCAGTAACAGTTTTAGGATTAAAGGACCATTAAGCATAGGTGTTTCCTCGGTTGTCAGGAAATCCCTTTCCCTCCAAATTGGTGCATGAGAATGAATTATGTGACAGGTGTATTTTGAGTCTGTACAATCTGTACATATGTTTACACTGTTTGTTGGTCAATGTTAGGACCCTGGTGAGGGCTATACAATCTGTATATATGTTTACATTGTTTGTTGGCCAATGTTAGGGCCCTGGTGAGGGCTATATGTTCTGCCTGTTGTGAGGCTGTATTGGATGGTGGGGGGCTGGATTCAATTATCTGAGTTAAGGAAACAATTACATAGCCTGCCTGTGTTATCCCTTGGTGTTTAAAAGAGCTCACACCTATGAACCAGTCTGGTATGGGGAGTGGTATCAGGGTGTCTGAAATATCTGGAAAGGGGTTAATAAAGTGGTCCAGTATTTCCTTGCAATCAGGTTCATCTGTTGTAGGTTGGGGGACAGGCAAAAGTGTAGCCAGGTTAAGTGAAGAGCAGCAAGTGAAAGTTTCTTTAGGATTTTCAAGAAGCAAGGCATGAATAACCTGAAATGTGGTGGCGATAATCTATTGGGTGGCCTGGTGGGTAAGAAGTGAAGAAAGTGAGTGCACTTTCTTCAATGTACTATTACTTTTTGGAAGACAGTTAATATTGAGCTTTCTTGGATTAGTATAGTGGCTGCAGCCAAAGATTACAAGCAGGGTGGCCAGCTGAGAACTGTTTTATCCAGCTGTTTGGACAAATAAGTTACTGGTCCGAGGTTGGGCCCACACTGCTGAGCCAATAATCCCACTGCAATTCCCCGTCTGCTGTCTATATATATAAGGAAGAACTTGTTTGGGTTGTGGAATGCCAATGCTGGGGAAGAAGTGAGAACTTGTTTTAAGAGTGAAAAGGAGTAGATACAAGGAGATTAGGATCTAAGGGTTCATGGAGACACCCGTTAGTGGCCTGATAAAAAGGTCAAGTGATGAGACCAACATTTGGCATCCAAAGCCTAAAATATCCTACTAACACAAGGAAGGAGAGAAGTTCAGCCTTAAGTTTTGGGAAGGGGAATTTCCTTTATGAGGTGTTTTCTGTCTACTGTGAGAGCCCTATGACTTGGGGCAATTAAAAGACCCCAATAAGTAACCTCTGTTTTGGTAAGTTGTGTGTTTTTAAGTGAGCCTCAGTAACCTTTTTGTCCCAAAAAGTTTAGAAGGAGGATAGCATGATGTTCAGAAAGTTCTTTCGTGGGGCTACAAAGAAGTTAATCATCGACATACTGCAGTAAGGTACTAGAGGTGACAGACAGCTTCTGTAAGTCTTTCATTAACGCTTGGCCAAACAGGTGAGGACTGTCCCTAGATCCCTGGGGGTAGGACTGTCCAGGTGAGTTGTTGTGAGACCCATGAGTCTGGGCCAGTCCATGTAAAAGGGAAGAGGTCTTTGGATGATGGGTCATGAAGAATGGTGAAGAAGGTGCCTTTAAGGTCTAACACCGTGTAATGTGAGGTATTAGGGGGCACTGAGGAAAGGATGTAGAGATTAGAGATGACAGGGGAAAGGGGAAGAAAAGCTTCATTTATAGCCCTAAGGTCCTGAACCAGACGATAGGACCCATCTGTCTTTATAACTAGAAGGATGGGGGAATTATATGGAGGGATGGTGGTCCCCAAAAGCCTAGCCTATATTAATTTATTTGTGATGGGTTTTAGACCCTTTAACCCTTGTGCAGGCACTGGGTATTGAGGCGTATTTGGGAAAGAAATTTGATCTTTTAAGGTCATATTTATAGGGGAGAGATGGGTAGCCACCGAAGGATGTTCGGTGCCCCAAACCAAAGGGTTGATTACATCTGGAAAAGGAGGAGTAGGTGGGACAGAATTTTGGGGTTCTCCCTGTGAGGAAAAGGAGATTATGCGTTAATATCTTCAGTGGGTGTGGGGTTAAGGTTGAGTGTAGCTTAGTGAATAGGTCTTGCCCTGTTATAGCAGTGGGGCATGTAGGTATGGCCAGGAAAGAATGAGCGAAAGCTGTGCCTTGTACGACACAGGTTAATGGTGGGGTTATCATAGGTTTGGAAATTTGGCCATTTACCCTTATAATAGAGATTGAGGAAGGCAACAAAGGCCCCTCATGTTCAGGAAGAACTAAGAAAGTGGCCCTCGTATTGAGCCAAAAAGAGATCAGCACATCTGACACCTACATATTTTCCCTGGGTTCAGTCTTGTTGATGGTCACAGTGGCAGCCTCTGAGCCCAGGCAGCATCAGTCTTTGGTGGCAAGTCCCAGAAGTTCAGGGAGGTGCAGTCCCAGCTCAGATTTGGGTGCTGGAGTGATGGCCCCAGACCCAGAGGTCTGAAGGCAGTCAGATGTCCAATGACGTGTTCTCCCACACACCAGACAGGGTCTTGGCGGAGCCTTGGGATTTGGGAAGGCTCTGGCCCAATGTTAGTCGTTGCCACATTTGAAGCATGGCCTGGAAGAGATCAGTGTTGCCCTGTTGGCGCTTTAGGATTCTGACTGCCCTGTTAGGCAGTGGCCCTCATTAGAATTTAGCCTGATATCTCTTTACCTTTGGTAGCCTTTGTGAGGTTTTGAAGCATGGCCTGGAAGAGATCAGTGTTGCCCTGTTGGCGCTTTAGGATTCTGACTGCCTTGTTAGGCAGTGGCCCTCATTAGAATTTAGCCTGATATCTCTTTACCTTTGGTAGCCTTTGTTCTTCACCCCATTATTAAAGACCTTAAAGGCTATATTAATCAGGTCCTTTTGAGGGGGTTGAGGGCCATCTTCTAGCTTTTGTAGCTTTTGCTTGATATCTGGTGAGAAAAAATGTGGATGTAGGTACAATCAGCCTGCTTCAGAGGTTGGGTCTAGGTTGGTATATTTGAGGACCACTTCTGTGAATCTGCTCATAAAAAGAGTTGGGTTTTTATCCGACCTTCGTGTTACTTCTTGGATTTTGTCATAATTTACTGCTCTGAGTGCACCTTCTTTCATGCCTTCTATTAAGCAAGTTATTAGGTGTGTTCGTTTAGCTCCATCTTGAGAGTTGGTTTGGTAGTCCCAGATAGGGTCAGTTCGAGGGACTGCCATAGTCTCTACCGGATATCTGGTGGGGTCTTGAGTGTGTAAAGAGTTGGCAAATGCAGTAGCAGCTGACCAGACCCTATCCCTTTCTTCTGGGGTGAGAGTAAAGGACATGATGACATACACATCATGCCATGTAAGATTATAGGTATGTGTTAAATATTGAAATTCTTTAACATACTGTGTAGGGTCTAGTTTCCTTTCTATTTGAGAAAGATGGGAGAGAGAGAAGGGGACAAGGACACATATAATGCCTTCTGCTCTGGCAACCTCCCACAGGAGAACCTTCCAGTGCGGAAGACAGAAGAAGAACTGACAACAGCAACTTGAGGAGTACATGCTGGAGGGAGATCTAACTAAGGCCAGGGAAGTTGAGAATTTAACTGGAAATGAAAGAAAGAGGAGGAAACAGCCGGGTGGTGAAGGCGGTCCTGGAACCAATCCTGCATAGAGAGCAAAGGACGAATGGACACCCTGCTAGGAACTCATACAAGAATACTCCTACAAGCAGCAAAATCGTGCTTGGCACATTTGCTGAGACCATTTCAGACTGTCAATGACTCAAAAGCTCACTAGGCTGAGAATAGTTTTCCTCAGCCAGCAGCAACTGCAGGGAGGTGCAAAAGTGGCTAGTCTCTACAGCAGCAGTCACAGCCACCATGCAGATGGCAGGCCAGACCCTCAACTGCATTGACACAAGGAGAGGCACTGGCAGAGATCAAAAAACAAAAAACAAAAAAAAAGAAGAGGTCCTCTTTCTTCACAAATCTCACGCCAGAGTAATAGAAGAACCATCTGATATATTATGATAATAGGGGAGGATTTGATCACACCTGTCTCAGTACTGGACAGATCATCTAGGCAATAAGCCAACAGAGGAACAATTAATCTATCAGATGGAGAGAACAAATCTATGGTTATTAGAGGAGGGGAGGAGAAGAGGAAAGAGGGGGAAGGAGGAAGGAGGGAAGAGAAAGGTGAGGGGAAGGAGGAGGGGAGAAATTGGATAAGGGGCATAAAGAATAAATATGATTTGCAACAATGAATATACTAACAATATACATATGTATAACACACACATGCACACACACACACACATGCACACACACAAAGGCCTGTAGATGATATTGACTAAGAAGTTATTAATGAGATAGAAATAAAACACATGTATTTCTCAGGACCAAAGTCCTTAGTATAGAAGGCCAAAGCCTGTAGTTTAGAGGACCAATGCCCTTCATTTAGGCCAAAGCCTGTAGCTCAGAAGGCCAAAGCCTCTAGTTTAGGAGGCCAAAGCCCAACCCTTTAGGAAAACACATAGGAATGCTAAGATTGAGAAAGATCAAAAAACTTTTGCAGGAATAAAGCCTTTGATGTAGATAGGAGAATTGAAGCACAGCGAAAAATGATTGCTCTGGGAGCAGTTGCCCTTAGTTCAGCTAAACCCAAATGATGGGAAAGTATGTAAGTTAAAATCTTCAAGGATATTCTGCTACTTAGTTCTCGGGGGACATTCCGCTTTCCGCCCTAAGCTGTTTCTTTGAGTTTCTTGCTTTGGTGATTGTCTCATTGTTTCTTTTTGTACATCACATGGCTTTGTTTTATGACTCCTTTAGGCAGTAAAATTGCTTGAACAATTTTAAACAACATCTGCTAGTGTGGCAGGCACCTGTAGAAGAGATCAGATTTGTTATTTAATAGATAAAGCAAGTGAGATAGGTGAGGAGAGGAATGTACTACAATCAGCTATTTAAACAGCAATTCTAACAACAACAAAGTTTTAGTTGTAAATGTAATATGGAAACCTGCACAGAACATACTTTCGTAATAAAGCAGATCCCAAAGCAGATATGGGAACTAATCGGATGAAATACAGAAACTCAGTAGTCATCATTTCTGGGTATGACATGACTGAATGTTATCAAATTTTCTGAAATAAAAAAGCCTACCAGTAACACCCAAATATTTCACCTAAAAGAATCACAAAATTTTACTGCATACACCTCCTTAACTAACAGATTCATATGTTATCACATTCCAACAACAAAATTGCCTAATTTACCTTCTTTAATAGAAGCTGTTTAAAAAAGAAGAAAAATGACCACATGCAATATTTGCTACAAACCAGTTCAGAAAGTCAAATACATGATCCACCTCCTCATATACAGCAGCTATGGCAGAAAGACTGGCACTCCACTGATAACACAGAGGTGTTGAAACAAAAGTTTTTTCTAGAAAAACTGCTGACCCTTTAAGACTAGTGACTGCACTTGTGGAATCCTCTGATGTTAGTTAGATTGATCTGAACAGCAAAGATGGTGAGAATAAGGAATTAAAACTTCACAGGCATCATATCCTTCCAAATACCTTGTACGTTCATCTTTTCTTCATCCAGGTAACAGGGAAAATGCCAAGGCTGGAGCACACCAATAAAACAGACATTTAGTTTCCATTCAAGCTCATTATCATTTAGTTTAAAAATGTTTCTAGGAACAAAGAGAGAAAAAAATGCAAGTAAGATCTACCAGGAAGCACCCAGACTTGGGCCTCACCAAAGCCTGGAGTAGAGATGGTTCCAGAGCTCATCAATTCCAGGCCCTTCATTTTTTAGCCCAGAGACATGATATGACTTGCCCAGAGACGTGGCACTTCTGAGAGACAGCGTTACATTGAACCACAAAGTACAGGGCAGTTCAACTCTCCACCCCCTGAACATTTATACTTTTTCAATGATAAATCCCACATCAAAAATACAGTTCAGCTTCCCCCACATCAGCCAGCAATGACACTTAGTGCTCTGCTATGGGGGTGCTATCTCAAGAGCCCAGGGTTCCACTTGGCCAGTCTGTACCATCTGTAAATATGAAACTGCATTTTGCCTACACGTTATAAATGTAAGCAAAAGTTTTAAGTTGGAAATATAATATGGAAACAAACATAGAATATACTTTCACAATAAAGAAGATCCCAAAGCAAATATGGTTAACTAATCAGATTACAGAGAGACACTCAGTATTCACCGTTTCTGGGTATGATGTGCTGAGCTCCCACCTGTGGAAGCCAGTAGGAGCATGAGCAGAAGACCTTGGGAGGGGCGGCGGCAGGCCAGACACAGCAGCCCGCTCCTCTTGCTGTAGTTGGTGTCCCTCTCCTGTTTGCAAGATGGAGATTAGCTGTGAAAACAAGAGAATTCACACACGAGTTAGCAGCCTGCTCCTCTTGCTGTAGTTGGTGTCCCTCTCCTGTTGGCAAGATGGAGATTAGCTGTGAAAACAAGAGAATTCACACACGAGGAGTACTTCAGCTTTCACCTACGCAGAGTGAGTGTGGTAGAGGTGCCTGCCAGTGAGCAGGTGGCCAGTGGGGCTGCGGTGATGGGGGCATGACCCAGTGGGTCTGGGGACATGGGCCCTGGGTCCACCCCGCTGGCTCTCTATGGTCCCTGTCTATTCCTATTCTCCCTTCTTGTCTCCCTGACAACCCCTGGGCCCTGGGTTCCCCGCAGAAGCCCACACCCCACCACCAACTCCACCGAAGGCTCTTTGCCAAGTGTGGGGGTGATCTCCCCCAAACATCCCCTCACCCTGGGGATGCACATGCCTGGCCACGCNCTGGGAAAGGCCAGATAGTAAATATTTGGGGATTTACAGGCCAGAGAGAAAAGCACCCCCCTCCCCATAGACAATACATGCAGCAGACTCAGCCTGTGCCAACCCCTGGAAGACCATGGCAATCAGCAGCCAATAATCTCAGGCACCTGTTTGCCTAAAACCAACAATGAGAACTCCTTATAGGAAACCTACTGGGGTAATACCCTGGACCCCAATAAAGGCTGTGCCCCACAGGTCCCTCTTCTTCTCTCTCTCTCTTGTTCCCTATTCCTGGTTTAAGTATGCATGTCCCAGATGGCTCCCTTCTTCCTCCCATGGGCCCTGCAAAGTGTGCTGCCCTCTTTTTTCTGGGATTTGTGGTTTTTTGTGTCATGTTGAGTTGCCTCCTCTGTGTCTCACTTGACTGACTTGCCCGACTTAACTCTCCTCCTGGGTAGAGCTCTCCTAGAGAGGTGCTATCTTGGTGGGAATAATACGGACACAGGTCAGACAAGAGCCACAAGGGTATCTGCCAGTATTCATAAGTTTCCTGTGTGTGAAGGTTAATCCTAGATGTCAACTTGATTAGATGAAGGAATGCTGAGAAACCTGGTAAAGCAATCTTTTCAGGTGTGTCCATGAGGGTGTTTCCAGCAAAAATTAGTATGAGAGTCTGAGTGGCCTGGGTGGGAAAGACCCACTCTCAGAGGGGGTGGGAACCATCCAATCCACTGGGGGTCCGGAGAGAACAAAAGACAGAGGAAAGAGGTGAAGCTCTCTCTCGATCTGCTGGCGCTGGGATACACTCTTCTCTCCTGTCCGTGGACATCAGAGCTTGAGACTTTTCAGCTTTTGGGTTCCAGAACTTACACCAAGAACACCATCAGCTTTCCTGGTTCTGAGGCCTGTGGGCTTGGATTGAGCCACGCTACTGGCATCCAGTTTATAGATGGCCTATCACAGGACTTTTCTTCATAGCCATGTGAGCTAATTCCCCTAATAAATCCCTCTCATATAATTATAATACATCCTATTGACTCTGTCTCTCTGGAGAACCCTGACTAATACACTGTAAGAGTGACAACTGGTCATGAGTTGGACAGTTCAGCATTAAGCCATCTGCCAGGATAAAAAAAAAAGTATCCTGTGAAAGGCACAGTATAGACATGAACTACCAAATCCCTGGAGCCTTGTCAGGCAGGGCTAGAGTTTGCAGCCACTCTCATAACAGAAACATCAAGATCAAATAAGAGAATCAAAGACCTGGTCAGCCACACAGCCCCCTCCACAAGCAGAGAGTCTTCCACAGAGCCGGGAAGAGGAGCTGCCTCCAAGCAGCCCTGCTCTCAGCCCCAAATGCTCCCAGATGCAGGAAGCACAAAGGGTTTCTCCAAGACACAGAGAACACAACACAGTAGTCCTCTCCATTTCCCTTCACATTCTTACCCCAAGTAAGTTTTTGTGTTTATGCAAAAAGCAAACACTACTCTTCCTGGGGGACATCCCTTGTTACTTCCCTGGGTGAGGATGCCCTGAAAACATGCTGGCCTGGTGGGTCTTTTCCTGGGTTGACCCCGAAGTGGGTGCATGAGCCTGGGTTCTGAACCTGATGCCTCTCTGTTTCAGGAGCCCCTTCTGCCAACCTTAGGTCTGTTCTTCCCAAAGGACCTGACTTCAATTTGATGCAAGAAATGTCATTCAGGAGACATGAGCCCAACAGAAACCTGGAGGGCCAAAGAAAGGCTGAGAATTGAGCAGTTAGAGGAGGAGACACGGCAGGTGGAGAAGGAGGCAAAGGAACAGTAGATCCATGCTGTCAACAAAGGGAGGAGTGGCAGGCAGGTGTGGGGACACCAAGAGGGCTGGAAGTGGGGGAGAGTCCCAGGGGTGAATGGGGAGACAAGACTACCACGCTGAAGTGTGGAAGAGAGATATTTTCTGACCAAAGAAACATCTTACCCACCCCAGCACCCGAGGGCCCATGGTATGACACCATCTGGATGCAAATTAATTTAATGTCTTGGGACAGAAATATTATCGACATCTAAAAAAGGCTGGAGAAGTTGACACTTCAGCTGGAAATGAAAGATAGGGGAGGAAGCAGCCAGGTGGTGAAGGGTGTCCTAGAGCTAATCCCCCATAGAGAGAAAAAGACAACTTTGTGTCCTAGGAACACATACAGGAAAACTATAACTAGCAAAGTCGTGCTTAGTATGTTTGCTGAGACCATTCTAGATTGTCAGTGACTCAAGGGCTCATAGACCAAGAATGTTCCCTCAGCCACCAGCAACTGCAAGAAGATGCTGAAATATCCCATTAGCAAAGGACACATAGACTCTAAGCTGCTGCTAGTATGCCAAGAAGCACTTGTAGAAGAGATCAGACATGGTATTCAACAGACAAAGCAAGTGAGACAGTAAGGAGACTAAAGTACTACAACCAGATATTTAAATATCAACCCTTACAATGACAAAAAAGTTTAAAGTTGGAAATAAAATGTGGAAACATACATAGAATACACTTTCACAATAAAGCAGATCCCAAAGCAAATATGGGAATCAATCAGATTACACAGAGATACTCAGTATTCATCATTTCTGGGTACCATATGACAATACTTTCTAATTTTCTGCAATTAAAAATCTCTACCAGGGC